ATCTGTTAAGGTTGCTGTTAAATCTGCCGTTAAATTGTGACATGGACATGTCAATATGGACCCACATGAATATTTAAAAAAAAAAAAAAAAGGTCTAATCTCTATCCTCCCCCTCACCCACCCCACCTTCCCCTTTCCTGATGCCCACCCGCCACCATCCCTTTTCCCCGTCCCCTTCCCCAAAACCCCCTAACAACCCTCCCTCCATTCTCTCTCCATTCCAAAATTCCACCATAACCCTTTTTTTATTTTATTGAAACACTATAACCGATTTCACTGTAACAATCATTATTCTAAACAAAAATTCCACCATAATCCCTTTCACCAAATCACCAAATGAGTAGAAAAGAGAAATCTCAGGAAAAGATCTTGACTTATACATTGGATCAAACAGGTGGGATGCACGAACACCAGAAGGAAATCTCTGCAGAAAAAATCATAATCTTGAACCCAAATGAGCACGCGGAAGAATGACGATTAAATGGCCTCTCGATTCTGTCGATCCTCAGCAGCACTATGCAATTGAACTTCTCTGGTGGTGGATTGGCCATTGTGCGCGCCAAGCTCTCATCTAGATCGAGAAACTTTGTCATCTTCTTCGAAGAGACAGCGGCGTAAGCGGTAGCTCGAACAAGAGTTGGCGGTAAACCGGGTTTCCTGATCCGGGTTCGCATTCTGGGCATCGACCGTGGATAGAGAAGGGAGGAAGGGTTGTTTGGGGTTTTAGGGAAGGGGAAAAGGGATGGTGGCGGGTGGCGGGTGGGTATCAGGGAAGGGGAAGGCACCTCCCGGGGGGGGGTGGGGGTGCGGGATAGAGATTTAACCCGATATTTTTTTTTTAAATTTAATATTCATTTGGGCCTATATTGACACGTGGCTTTTAGTTATTGTTTACGTAGGCGCTACATCATCATTTAACATCTAATTTAACAGTAATTTTTTAACAGATGTATGAAAGTGTCTCAAAATTATGACTTTAGGTACCACTCTGGGATTAAAAAAAATTATATGCTAAATGTTGAAAACCAATAAACTTTAGAGTAGTAAATTGAGATTAACCTTTAATTTTTTTCATTAATTAAAGTTATAGCATGGTTTTTGAATAAAATAAACTTCTATTTTATATTATTGACAAATCATATAGTTTATAATTTTAGTCTAAAAAGTTGGTCTCTCTAATATTTCATATAGTTTATAATTTTAGTCTAAAAAGTTGGTCTCTCTAATATTATTATATATTTTATATTAATTTCAATTCTTAAATTCTTAACTTTCACTTAAATGTAGTTTTATTTTAATATAGATGATATAAGGGTAGAGGAAATAGAACTCGAAATTTCGAGTGCTTAGGATAGATGCACTTAATTTTGACTAAGATATAAAGTTTGATACTCGATCTCTTAAAACAATCTTATCATATATTATAATTTCATGTGATTAATCTAAATCGTTGAATATTGACCAAAAAAAACAAATCTAAACCCTTGAACAACAATTTAAATAACATTCGAATAAATAACTTTATTGTCAACCTTCAAGCATTCGACTTCAAAGTTTTTTTGATAAACAATATAAATTAGTTTAAAATAAAATATTGATTACATAAAAAAAATCTAAATATTAAATAAAATTTAAACTTAGATGTACAAGACACGCATGCTGTTCTAGCCTTAAGCCACATACAGAGAATGAGAGGAAGATTGCATGACTTTTATTTTATAAAAAATGAAAAAGGAAAGTCAAGGCACGTGAAAATGATGATAATATATGAAATGTAGATGAACTAATTCGCGAATGAGGGTCCTCTCTAGATCATTTTTGTAAGGATCTTAGAGATCCCTAAATCATGTTCGTTCATTGTATATCGTGTGGTCAATTTTCGTCAGATACTATTCATATTAAATTTCAAATAAAAGTATTTAAAATAATTTTTGACTGTACAATGTACGATAAACGGATACAATTTGAAAATCTTTAGAATTCTCACAAAAGGATCCGGAGAGAATCCTCATTCCTAATTCACTCAATTGACTACTTGAAATAGACTTGAAAATAGATGTTGACAAATCTTTCGTTCACACTTCGCTTTGAATAGCTGTTTGTTAGTTGATAATTGTGATGCCACAAAACAACACAACTTGGCTGCTGTAAATTCAGCAGTTGATCTTGCTTACAACCAATCCGGGATGGACATGTGTTCAAGTTTTAAATTTTTAATAAAAAATTTGGATAAGTATCTATTCCGGACTGGTTGTAAGCAGAACCGGCTGCTGAATTATTCAGCAACCAAGTTCTTTCTGTCACAAAATACAAATGGTAATAGATTTTTATGAATTACGTAGGATTGGTGTGTCATGCATGACAAATATACTACTTTCATTTGCAGTTCGTCCGCGTAGATGACCAGTTATTGATGAAAGCAGATTTCACAACTTGTCAATAATGTAATCAATTATCTAAGAATGCATGAACGATTGTCGGTAACATAATTTAAAACTGATATCCGTACATGCACTTGTATGTGGAAAGTAATCTTCGAAATTTGTCAATAGATTTTAATTCACTATATATCCAAGCGAGTATAAACAATTCGTAAACAGATGTAAATGACTATTCAAGCATGACATCAACATGAATAACTATTCAAGCGTACCATTAACGAACACGTCAATAAACGAGTGTCACTAACACGACTGACCTTGTTGGATGTACTTGTAGGTGGAGGGTAAGTGATGCAGACCACGTGGCCGCGATGGCTTGTCATATAGGAAAGCTGATGTGACTTTAAGTGGTAAGGGCCATAGAATTCAAGGAGCTACCACACGGACTTGAAGATTCGAAGTCTTGCCTTTGTGTGGCTTGATATTTTTTTTGTAATAGAAGAGAGTACACGACGTCATTTTAGTTGTGACTTTTAGCCTTTTCTACTTCTTGAAAATTTGCCGGCAGAAGAAGATAAATGATTGGTAAACATTATCAACAAAGAAGAAACAACATTAACTTTTATGATGCTCCCACCATGTTGATGTGCAAGAACACCATGTCATGTTAGAAGGGAAACTACGATGCCACTGGAAGCACAATACATGGCTAGTAAGATGTTAAACGCACTAATAATTTCATTGCGAAACACTATTTATCTGTACAAGATGATGAACTTGACTAGATGATGGAATGAATTGAGGATCAGTAAAAAGGTCAAACTGGATATCGAGAATATTAAAGCTTTGCGTATTAGCTCATGACACGTCTTTTTAAAGAGAATGAGACCGCGCATCGAAATCATTATTTGTATGATACATATGGCTTTGGATTTAAATTTTAGGACACATATCTCATCACGTAGTTTTCCAGTGTAATTCCCAGGATGCTAGAATTGATGAGATTCCCCTGGCCTTATTTCTTATACGACGTTCTTTGAGTTGTCGTCAAAAACCGCATTCCCTTTTGAATTACGGTTACCGTTTAGCCACCGGTTCCCTCCAACTCCCCATCTCAAACTTCACCCAACCAAGTACTCCTGAGCTCCACTCTACAACCATGAGCAGAGCTTGCCGTGAGGCGGAGCGGCGTGTCCTCCGCCTCCTCCACGGCCACAAAACCGGAACCCGTCTCCACCAAATCCACGCCCTCCTCCTCCGTCATGGCCTTGGCCACTTCGTCTCCGTTTGTTGGTCACTCAACAAAATGAGCTACGCAAATCGCGTTTTCGATCAAATCTGCTACCCCAACATCCTCCTCTTCAACTCCATGATCAAAGGATTCTCACTCTGCAAGCCCTTTGAACGATCCGTATACATTCTCTCTCGTGAAAGACCGGGGAATTCGCCCCGAGGAGTATACTTACGCGCCGTTGCTCAAGTCGTGCTCCAACATTTGCGATTACACTAGGCCAGTGTGTCCATGGACAGATTCTGAGAGTTGGGGTTTGAATGTTTTAGTTCGATTGGGGTTATTGAGCTTTGTGTAACTTGCGGGAGAATGGGGGATGCTAAGAAGGTGTTTGATGCTTTGTCTCAGAGAAATTAATGTCATCGTTTGGAATTTGATGGTTCGTGGGTTTTGCAAAACGGGTGATGTCAGTACGGGGTTGTGTTTATTTAGGCAAATGGGTGAACGGAATGTTGTTTCTTGGAACTCGATGAGTTCGTGCTGAGCGCATGGTGTATGAGATAGCAAGGGTTTGTAACTTTTTCGTGAGATGTTGGATCAGAGTTTTGAACCAGATGAAGCGACTGTGGTTTCGGTTTTGCCTGCTTGTGCTCATTTGGGAGCTGTTGATGTAGGGAAATGGATACACTCTTACACGGATTCTAAAGGACTTCTGCAAAAAGTTGCATCTGTGGAGGAATTCACGTATAAACTTGTATTGTAAATGTGGAGACTTGGATGCTGCTTGTAGTGTTTTTCGCCAAATTTTGAGAAACGTTATTTCCCGGAACACTCTGATTTGGGGATATGCTTTTAATGGGAAAGGCGAACCCGGGATCAACTAGTTCGAGGAGATGATGAGCAAAGGTGAGAGACCTAACGATGCAACATTTGTTGGGGTTTTAACATGTTGTGCTCATGCAGGCTTGGTGGAAAAGGGAAAGGATTTGTTTGCTTCAATGAATATAGCTCACCAAATTGATCCAAAACTAGAGCACTACGGATGTATGGTTGATGTCGCGGGCGAAGCAGACGGGTGAGGGAGGCTCATGAGTTTAATCGAGTATGTCTACGAAACCGAATGCTGCTTTATAGGGTGCACTGCTAGGTGCTTGCTCTACTCACGGTGAAGTTGAGAAAGTTAAGAGATTTGAGAAAGTTGAGAGATTTGATGAGGGAAAACTGCATCACACAGCAGGGCAGAGTACAATTGGTAGTCATGAAATTTCAGTTCAGTGAAGAGGTAACCTTCATTTTTCAACTTCCGATTTCCATAGACGACGATCTTTCTTCTTTTAATTCTCCAAGAGAGCCGTCGTCGGAAATAGAAGTTGAAGAAGGAACAAAACTCAGGCCAAACATAACAATTATCATTTATATTGGTGTCTTCAACACCTCTGCTCCTTTACGAAATCTACACACGAAATACATACACAAACGTTTGTCAAAATTTACAGAGAGAAAGCTAGCTTCCTAGGGAACAACTTTCTCCAACACACATTTTTACTCCTAATCCTTGTCTGCAAACCACACCGCATGCTCTACAATGGCGATCAAAACGATCTTAATCATCTATAATGTTGATGGTAAACGTTGATAGCATATCCGGAACACCTGATATAACAGGTCCATACGTCTGTGGAACACAACACAATAGACTGATTCAATCTCCCTCGCATGTTCAAACACTCGTACGACACTCATAAACATGTACGGACACAAATTTTAAGATCATTTACCTCGTTGTTTTTGGCGATCTGGCACAAGGGAATAGCGAGCAATTTTTGGTTTTTTGGCGCAATGAACTTCCGACAATCTGGTAACTTCACGATGAATAGTTTGGTGCACTCCTACATAATGACATAAACATAAGAAATCATACTTGTTGGCTACCCAGTTGAAGCAGCCTTGTTAGGAATACCATATTTTCATAACACATTAACTGATGAGTCGATGACATAATATATTATACATCAAGGGAGTGCTACGATCAGTTGCACACCTAGGCGGGCTGATCCTAGCCACAAAGCGCAGCCAAATCAGCACCACCGCACGGGCAACTGATCCTAGCACTCTTCTATACATCAATCAGGATGATCATTAACAGATCGGTTGCCACATCGTGTAGTTAGTTAACCGTTATTAACACATATGAGACTGAGAGGGAGACCAAACAAGCTACCTTTGGGTTTTCAACTCGAGGCGGCAAGTCTCGACAGAGCAATGTTTCGAAGTCGTGCCTCCACCATACCCCAAGACACTCCCCAACCTAAACCTTGAAGCAACAATTACCAACAATTTTTCGATCTGAATACCACCCCCAAAACAAAACAAACATATTCCATTTTCCTTACCTCCCAAGGAATCCCATCACCATCTGCATTGATACAAAGCTTCCTCGACAGCTTACGTTTCAATCCGTCGATCTCTGCGGGTTCAAACAAATCCCATTTTAGTGTAACCTCACTTGAAATCTCGCACTTATTTCGACGAAACTGATAAGTTCAATTCACCTGATTCGCCAGGGTCTTAAGCGACCCCCGGGAAGCTTAAAAATGCAGTTTCTTATTTGCAAGAGCAGCACATGAGGATGTTTGAACAACTCAACCTGAATTATGGAAAGCCAATTCCAAATTTAATCACATTTTAGATATCGAAATCCCTCTCCCAGTAGTTTACATTAGATTAGATTAATTAGAATATCGCTCGAATAAAAATATATAAATAATAAAACATGTTGCTTGGGAAGGACGAAGAACCAACCAGAATAACTGCTTCCACACAAGTCCTCAATCCATAAGCAGCATAACTATATTTCAACAACCACAAAACCAAAATTAATATTTCTATTTTTAAGCAAAAATTAATGAAAAATAAAGGAAACCCAATTGAGAATACACAGATTAATAAATAAAAACCCAAGAAAAAAAAAAGGTACTTGGACTTCAATCGGTGAAGACGATCAGCTGGAGTTTCGTCCTTGACAGGAATGGCTTCCTTGGAAGCAAAGTAGTAGCTGCTAAGAGGGTATATGTCCAGCGTACGGCTCTGATCATCGTTGTCGTGGTGATCAAGACTGTTACTGTCTGACACGTGTGAGGAACCCCTTTCATCCCCCATTTTTCAACTTTCCCTCCTCCCTGGAAATTCTTGTTAAGTGAAGCACTGATAGGAAGGGAAGAACTTAAATTTCAGGCGCAGAGGAGAAATAAATAGGAAAGGAGAGAGAGAGAAAGAGGAAACGTGGCTTGGGTATGGAGTTTGGTGTTGAATTCTTGGGTCGTCGTCTCTCGAACGTGGCGTTCCAGAGAGACCTGGATATTTAGCTAACCAGTTAGAGAACAACTTACAGCGGTGAGTCACCGAGTTATACTGCACCGTGTCGTTTCGTGTCAATTTTAAACAATGTTGTTCGAATTATTTTCTTTTATTTCTCAGAACAGGAGTATACTACGTGTAATATTGAAGATCAGGTTTTTTTTTCCAGTAATGTCACCGTGCCAGTATATCTGTATTATGCTGTAAGGTGGTAGTTAATTTTTCATGGGCTTCAATGTGTTCGTGGGTTTTTTTGTAGGTTTATTTTTTGGTTTTATGAGTTCAAATATGGACTGGTTTTGTCCATTCAACGCCTGATTTGCTTGGTGACCCAATAAAACTCAACCAACAAATGTAAATTTCGATTTTTATTTTGCCACAAACAATTGTAACTTTTATGCATCCTTAAATTTCTTCAATGAAAAATGTAACTATTATATTGGATGTATAACTTGACGAATTTTAACTAATGCAAATAGAGAAAATGCGCAGAAAGATAACCGATAAAATTCAAGCATAATTCTTAACTCACGCTATATGAAAGATGAAAAGATAAAGACGTGAATAGATTTATGCTTATATACTAAACAAGTTTATAAATTTATAAATTGATGGCTTGAGATTAGATATTTTCAATCAGATCACACCAACTTGCAAGGTCAATCAGCGATCATTGACCCTCAACAGTATGATGAATAGTTAAACAAATTAATTTATGATTACTTGCAACCTAAGTAACTTGAAGGATGCATACCCCTATATCCCCTTTGCTTTAGATGATGAAAGTTAATTAATTAAGGAGATACGATCAATCAAAAAGTCAACAACCAAAATCTGACCGTTAGATTATATAATCATCCTTTAATTTGTTGGGCAAGCTAACCACCAAGCCAAACCAAATGGCCCTCCTCCTACTTCTTCCCATTGATTCAAGTTTACTTCTCTAAAATTTATCTTCTTTATATTGAAAGTTGTTGGACTGTCATGTAACCATGATGTAATTCTTTATTGTCACGTGAACGGCTATGTGATCATCTTTTTAAGGGTAATTTTGTCAAACCACCATCTTCATTTAATGACAGATTTTTCATGAAATCATCAAAATGATTTACAGTGGACAAATTCAGGAACCACTTCTACCGATTTTCATTGTCAAGAACTAAAGTAAGAAGTTATGTCAATCTCATAAATCAAAATCATTTTAGCTACAAAGCCTATATATAATATTTGGTTCACAAAAACAAAAAGAAACCCACAATCAATCGTCATGTGAGATGTTTTGAGTAGTAATACGTATAAAGGTGGATCCCATATTGATGTGTTCATATGGTGTGAGCGTATTAACCACTTTGATAATATTGATGGACTAATTTCATTTAGGTCAAAAAATCAAAATTGATATTAAAAGTAATGAAATTATCGTAAAAACAAGAAAACCATAAAGTCGTATCATATTCTTAGAGCTTTATTTATTCATACATGGTAAAAAAATATACGTCTCACCATTACAACTCACAAGAGGTTATCATCCATAACATAAAAAACAACAAGGAGGTCTCAAGTTCGAGGCTCCAAACTAGTGACTCTGTTTGATTGTGGTCAAGAGGAGGTTGAAATGTCTCTGTGAGTTTTCCCGGCCCCCGAAAGGGATGAATAACTATGGCTTGCCACCAATTGTCCCCCTTTTTAAAGAATATTAAAAAAAAATTCATCCATAACATAGTCAATAAATACATATAAGCATCTATACCATAGTCAATAGATATAGGATGAAGTTTCGATTTAGTTCATAAACTATCACCTTAGTGAAAATTAGGTCCATGAATTATTTTTTGTGACAAAATAAGTCCCTAAATCTATTACAAATTGCTAATTTCATCCCTACTATCACTACAAAACTAGAACAAATAGAGGCTAAAACATTTGCATCTATTAGTTAAAAATAGGGCCAAAAAAAAAAGATTTCCGCACCTAATAGTAAGGAGGGGAGGATATTAAATTTGCACCTAAAAAAGGTGTTGCTATTGATAAATAGAGATGAAAGGGTACATATTTCCGCCTCTAATAGTTATTATGCCATGTAGGCAAGTGTGACGTGAAAAAAACATTAGTTGCGGATGTTAAAAGCTTTAGGGGCGATTATTAAGGCCCCTACTCTAATAATTTGTATTTAATTGAGTTTTTATTTGTCATATTGCATTTTGGAAATTGAGAAACGATTTCTATTCCACCATTAATTGTTTGACACGTATTCTCACATTTTCAAAGTCAAGAATATTTATAATTCTTTTCAGTTCTTCAAAAATTATTATTCAAAACTAATATCATCACCAACCCAGATGAAGAAACAAGAATTATTGCCAACAAATTAATATTAAAGTTACATTCTTCGATTGATTAGATACAAAATGTTACATGATAGGCGTACGATGAATACATACAAATCCATCCCAGTACATAAGGTTCTCTAAAAATTCTCTCCAAATCTAAATCTACTCAAAGACTCAATCCCTTGATTCAAACACATAACATGATTAAAAGTCTGTCTTCAATCTCTCCTTGATGCATATGAAAAGTATGTGTTCCATCTTCCCTGTAAACACAAAACACAAGATCATAATAATTGTTACTAATCTTCCCAAAAAGTAAAAATACGCACTCGAATACTGCCTCCCTTTCCAAATCGAATACCAAACAAAACCTACAAAACATATAAAAGCAAAAGAGAAAGCTCAAATTCAAATAGAGACAATTTGGGTTCATAACGTAATCGCACAAAATATATACAAAACTCAAAATCAAAATAACTGGGTAAAGAAAAATAATGAAAATTATTACCTGTATGAACGTTGCAGAACAAGAGAAAAGAAAGAATAATAAACTTCAGAAATCAATCAAAGTGTTAAGCTTTCTCAATCCCTAATGATCTCTTTATCTTGATTTCAATCCACCAATGACAAGCATTAAGAAATAAAGAAAAAAGGAGAACGAAAAATGAAGGGAAAGAACAAAGAGAAGGAGAATAGATAATGCTATTGATACTTGATAGAGTGAATAAACAGCACAAGAGAGACCATGCCCTCACAGTTTTGTTTTTGGGAACTCACGAGCAACTAACCCATCCTATGATTGCTCTCACCCGAATTCGCTTAACTTCAGAGTTCCGAAGGAACCCGAAACCGGTGAGTTCTAAAATATCTTGTGCTATATATGGAGGTGGGCATGTACATATAAGGCACATCACCCCCGCTCTGTTGGTCGATGTGGGATGTTACATGTTTCCCTTACTAGTTATTAAAATTAAGAGCTGGAAATTATTCCCATATTAAGGGCTGATTTAAACGCCCCTAATAGAACTAATACGGGCAAATAATATTTTTGCATCTAATATCTTATTAATAGAGGCGAATTCTTCCATTTGCCCTTAGTTGACCGCACCTAATAATCACTTTTCTTGTAGTGTATTATAATTAAAGCTATTTTATTCAAGTTTTCGTCAACTTAAATCACTTGACACACTTTAGACACACTTTAGAATGTAATATTGTCATTTTCTCACCTATAAGCCCTTAACATTTCATATAGGTTGCAAATCTAGCGTCTAATTTACCATCCGAAGTTAACTTACACTATTTATTATGTAAAACTACCAATTTATCCTCCAAAGTTAACTTCATACACTATTTCTTTATGAAAGACTACCAATCTACATTCTAACGTGAATGACATACAAGCAACATAACTTAAATTGTTACTATTGAATATAGTAGCTTCAAATAATATTAAGGATGTAATTGACAGATTTTTAAAATTCAATAAGTGATTTTTCTAAAAAAATAGTTTAGAAACATAATTTTCATTGAGGTGGTAATTCAAGAACAAAATTAACAGTTCATTCATAAATTTGTATATATCTTCAAGCGACTAGTCGAACTGACATTTGCAATGATAATCGTAAATTAATAAATGTCGTGTGTACGCATTGCATTCTTAAACATAGTCAATAAAGTTCCATGCACACTAGTTTTTTGAAGTTTTAAATTTTAATGAAAAGGTTAAGGTGCAATTTTGTTTTAAATCGTTATTCATATACTAGGACTTCAGAGAGTATCCAACCTAGTATTTTTTACAAATTAAAATTTTAAAATTAAAGATAATCTTGGTTTTATTTTTTATTTTTTTTAGTACATCGATATTTTTACATTAAAAGGAGTGAGAGTTCGGCTAAGCCACACAATGGGCAATCTAATTTGATATTGAATTCGTTATCCATGAGATTCAAACCTAAAACATTTTATTTACAATTAAAGAGGAATACTATCAGATGGTAATATTGAATGATAAAGATAATCTTGGTTAATAGCATAATTTCTTTCCAATCATTGCGGGCGCATAAACCGGAAAATAGAAAAACAAAAACAACGGAAAAATGACATGTCAACTGTGGGAGCTCTAAGGCCCTGAAGCCCCCGACCAATCATATTGCATAGTTCCGCAGAAAATTGAGCGTCAAACACGATGGGCTTAGGTGTCTTTTTGACTATCATCCAATCAAAATCTTTGGTTCCTCCGCCAACCATTCAGCAAATAATTTTGAATCCGAAACATTGCCGGTTTCTTTTGGTGAGGATCTTGATGATCCTAGAATCGTGTTCGTTCATTATACATCGTACGATCATAAATTATTTTAAATATTTTTATTTAAAATTAAAAACAGACAGTATTGGACAAACACTATTTGTATAATATACGATGAATAGACACGATTTACGAATTCTTAAAATGTTCACCAAAAAAATCCCGTTGGAATAATTTTAGCAACTACTACCAAATATAAAAACATATCAATAAAACCAAAACCCTTAGAAAAAAAAAATATAAAGAAATACTTCTTTTAATAACTTGATAAGTATGTCAACTGTATTTTATTTGTTTTATTTTTTAAAGAAAGTGTTATTGGTACTTTAAAAATCTTATTCTACATTCTTATTTTTTTTTTTAAATATAAAAAATTTAAAATGTAGAATAAGAATTTTAAAATGTCAATAACAATTAATTTTTTTTTTTTAAAGACAATAGACAGAAAGGAGGAGTCAATTTTTCTGAGCTTTCAGTTGTTTAATGCTGAAGGGAACCTTGCTTGACATGTACAAGACACCTCTCTCCCTCTAATTCACAAAGATCCCCTCTGAATTTTTGATCTGTGGAGGAGAAAATTCATTGGAATTTTGCTCCCCAGTTCCTGCAAATCATTGGGTAAGTTCCTTCTTCTCTTCCAGCTCTTCTATCCGCAAATTTTCTTTCAATTTTTATGATTGATTTGTTTGAATAAACTGTTTTTCTCTTCTAGGTTTGTTGGGATTTGCATAAAGTTCAAAGCTTTGCCAAACTTTCTTGTTAATACTTGATGGGTATTCAATAATTTGTCTTGATATGATTGTGTGCTTGAATTTTGAATTTCTTAGTTCAATGATTTATGAGCTGAATTGGGGTGATTTGGAATAATTGTGGAAGTTTTTGCAGCACATTCATAGATAATTAGATATGAGTTAATGGTTAATGAAATTTTTTTAGGACACCACTCACAAGAACTAAGGTTTTGTTGTCCCAAGTAGTTGTCCATCATAGTACCGTGTAAATCCTGTGTCGTATGTCCACCTGAGCTGGCGAATAGCAATGTTTCTGGGTCCAATCCACCTGTGTGTTCAGTTCCGGTTTAAGTGAACGATCCCGTAGTAGGCTATAATTTTGTACTGAATGAATTTGCATGCCCCGAGAAAGGTGATTTGTGAATCCTTTTTAACCATAATAAGGGGAGTGCTTGATTAGCCACAATCAATTGCTTGTGTTCAATTCCGGTTTAAGCTAATGATCTCGATTCCCGTAGTATGCTTTAATTTGTATGGAATGAATTTGTATGCCATGAGAAAGGTGACTTCTGAATTATTTTTAAGCATATAAGGGAGGGCTTGTTTAGCTCCAAGCAGTTGCAAACTTTAGTTCAAGTTTTATGTTTGTTATGTGAGCAAGTAAAGATGAATGTTTTCTCAAAGATTATGACCAAAAAAAAAAAAAATCCGGGATAAATTGGATATGAACTGAAGTTCTAATTTTGTGGAACAGGCATACAAAGTTGTGGTAACAGAATTCAGGATTTTGACTCCTCGTATTCATCTGCAATTCTGCTGTAGGACGCATGGATCAAAGTATGCAAACTTCTCTTGATTACTCGGGCTTAATCTTCTTTGCATATATAAATTATGACTATATATTTACTTGTTCAGAACTAAAATGATTAAGTTGACATGACCAGTCATGATTTTACTACTTCCTTACTCTGATACAAGATTTATTGGTGTTGCAGATGCTTCAAACGACCTTGAGCTAGTGAAATCACCATCGGAAAAGCATCTTGAACGTTTGAGACCATCAGCTCGATATTATTCAATATTTAAAGGTAGGCTATTGTTTTCACATTTTCTTTAGCGAAGCCTATTTGGGATTCGCAACTTATAACTTATAAGTGCTTTCAGAATTATCCGTGACAAATATCAATCTTCCTCTCATGGACTATGGAATGTGTTTGTTCTATCAAATTGTGTTTTTCGTCATTCATTCACTGTTTCCAATTATGATAGTTTGTTGTTTAGATAATTTTTAACATTGTACTTAAACTGGAATGCCTCTAGTTGTATCAACTTCCAGCACTAATCAGCTTGGCTACAACCTATTAGCGGGAGAATGTATCAGCATGCTAGAATTGATGATTGTGTTAATAGACTTCCTGAACAAATACTGGGCTGGAATGCAGTTGTAATTTTAAAATGTCATGAATCTGATCCCGGATATATGTAATTTCTATTTCTGTCTATAAACAAGATCCTTATAGCTACTGGATCTTTTATATCAACTGTTGATCCAGACAAGTGAGAGATATTATGGTCATGGTAGGGCAAGCAAAAGATGCTGCAGATCCTGAAAAAGGCAAATATTCCCTAATTAGAGATGCAGAAGACTTTCCGTCGGGAATATACGAGAAACAGCTTCCATGCTTTGGCTGTGGGATAGGATGGTTTTCGTGAGTATCTTTAATTCCTCTATCCCTCCTCTGTTTTCATTATTCCTTGTCTCACTCCTGTATCTTGCACCGCAGTTTTCTTTTAGGCTTCGTATTCCCATTAATGTGGTACTATGCCACAGTTCTCTATTTTGGAAATTACTATCGGAAGGATCCTAGGGAGCGAGCAGGACTAGCCGCCTCTGCAATTGCTGTATATCTCTCTTTCTTTCGATTACGTGTTTCCATTCTAGCGTGTTTCTGCAGTTTAAAGTTTACATCGTCAACCATGTATCAGAGAATTAATTGGCATAATTATCCAATTGTTTCAGGCACTAGTTTGTTCTGTCGTGCTGTTGATCATAGCATTGTTTCGGATGTTCTAGATTTGCTCAATCGGAAGCGTGCTAGCAACATCTTCACAAGCATGAAGAAATCAGTGGGATTGGAAGGGCCTGTAAGGACACAAATACTAACGTTTTTTTGATTTTTTGTTTTTTTGTTCTTTTCCGGTGGAAGGGGAGGTAAATGAAAAAAAGGAAAGGAGTAGATGAAAAGAACCTGAACTTCCCATACAATTCTTTAGACGTCAAGACTACAAGCTCTGGATGATGATGAGCTACAGTTTTCGTATTTTCATATTTGTATGAACAAATGGCGGCGAGACGGGTATTTGAGTTTGTAAACTTCGTAACTATACAGAATTTTATGGAGGTGAAATACAGGGATGTGTCATCTTTAAACTTTGAACGCATTTCAGTTGCCGAAACCAGAAGTTGACCATTGTACGAGCTTTCCATCATCTTAGCTCATTAAATGACAAACTTAACGAGCCTTATAGCGTGAACTTATAATTAAGCACAGCATTAAAGTTATGGTTACACGACAGAGCTTAAGCAAGGCCCTGAGCCGTCATTACAAGGACACACTACCCACTATGTTGTATTAATTCGGAACCGTTTATACTATTATCGAATTCGGATCAAAATCTGATTTGTTGACTTGTCTGGTCGTGCTTGCAACCAACATACATGAGACTTATTCATCTGTTAAGACTGACTGTTGCACAGACACACCGAGGATTTCGGCTGCTTCATTCCCGAGTGCCAATTCCATGTTGCAGTTGAGTTAGTACTTGAGCGAATGAACGTAACCTTCAACCAATTGGCGCTTTCCGCCATTCTTCTCTCTCCGGAGTGTTGGACACCCGACATGCCTTGGACGCTCCCGGAACAACACCAATCACAAAAGAATACAACTTTCACATGTTTATAACATCTTCTTCTCTGTTTTACAGACATAGGTTTTGAAGGTCTCTATCCGCTGTGAAGGCTGCAAAAAGTAGGTTCAGACACGGTTTGGACATGGAGATTTTTTGTAAACGTCAAAGACATTTTGGGATAATTTTGTAAATATTGAAACTTTCTAAAACCTAAAGTTTGCGACCTACTCTTCAGTCCTTTTTCTAAAACCTAAAAGTTTGTTGACAGGTCCTCTTTCTCTCCATTCGCATCCGTTTAATTATTATGAATTCAAAGTATTGTTTTTAATATATATATATATTTATAATAAATTTATTATATTTTAATTGTCGCATTTTAACCGTATTTGTGTCCTTATTTTTTGAAATTTTTCATGTCGCCATGTCGACGTATCTCATGTTGTTGTGCAACATAGGTGACCAATAACATGGGATATTTGATTTGACTCTCGACTTTGTAAGGTGAAGTTTTATGATCAGATGACCGGAGTAGAACAGATTGCAAATCAGTCTCATTCCAAAGGCATCGACCTTGTCGACTGTAGAGGGGAGTTGGAGCTGAATCAAAGTGCTTCCGTTTCTACACTCGCCGCAGTTATCATCACCCGTTGCCTGCAAACATAGTACCTAAAGTACAGAGGACGGGTATTTATCATCTTCTTCTTGTTATTTCATGACCTTGTTGGTGAAGATAAACATTAAGTTTTTTATTAAGCTTTCTCTCCGAAACACAAAACAAATTAAGAATGCATCTTTTACTACGGGACAATCGTTACAATGTCTCATTCATAGAGAATTGAAGAATTAATGACAAGGATATTTCTTCCGAAAACTCTTCAAACGGAAGAAATGATCAGAAAACGTAGATGTAACCTAAGCTCCCCCGCGTCCTATACTTGTAACTCGGCGTTCGAATCTGAATTTGAATGAAGGGATAAGGCTTCAAAGGACAATATACTACGCTGAAGTGAGTCACACTCCGCTTCAAACTGACGCACTTTAATCCTTGGCAGCCAAATGAACATACTTGTTGTCGACTCTAAATTTGGAGCTCGAATTGATCTGGCACCAATAAATAAGTATTGTAAAAAATAATGTAAAGGATGAGTCGAAGACAAGTTGATACTACTAGTTTGCAGATCATGAATAAAGATGAACAAATAAACATTGGATTGGCCGCAAACCTTGTGCTCAAGCTTAGTACTCAGTTTGGTTTCGTCATCTGTTATGCCGGATTCTTCAAGAGCCTTCAGCACAAGTTTTTTCAATTTCCTCATCTTCAGGACTCCGTCATTCTGCACCCATGCATAATAACGCAGATCAATTTTATTCTGAAAACTAGCAATGACGTAAAACAAATGTATATAAAGGTGCATCTTTCATGATATCGTGTCCATTTCACAAATACATTGCACAATTTTAGTGTAAAGCAAGAAACGATTTTACTCAGATTTCATACCGATTTTAGGGTTGATGTAATCAACTTCTTCCACTTTATTTTCGTAGTGAGTTCTCCCTCTCTCCTATTTGCTTCTGTCTTCCCACTCTGAACCACTTTGCCATTTCCTACTTCATCTGATGTATTATCCTTAGTCTTCTTTCTCGATTCATCGTTCTTGGATGCATCAAGCTTTCTCTTTTTATTTTTCAGCAAGGTGTAATTCTCTGCTTCAGGACTTTGATGTTCGGAATTGACTCTAGACGCATCATGCGATTTAGGTTCTTCTATTTGTTTATTCTCAAGAACTTCACCCTTGGGAGTGTCCTTGGGTGGAGGTTCAGTATCCGGAACAGATTCTTCCGGCTGCTTAGGCTGTTGCTTTCCTGCATGGATGGCTCGGGCTTTTGCCCTGTGCTTCTTTCCTTCAGCATGCAGCAGCAGGGTCTGCTCACTAGTGGCTTTAGTGTTGCAAATACTGAAAGTACAAATATATATCCAGCAACCTATGATCAGATCCCAATCATGAAAAGAAAACTGACTGTACATATGTTCAGATGATGCATTTCTTCAATCAAACTAACTGGATCAATTCGGACCATTGCTTTCAAATTCACCGCATTCGTTTGATACGCCCTCTAAACAAATACGCGAATAAAAGATTATGAACGAACTAGGATGAGATGAATATACCTACAAAACCATGGAAATCGCTTAGTCAGCCCGACAGTAATATCAAAATCGGGTTGCTGCTTTCCATCCTTGTTGTTGTTGGGCTTGGCTCCCCCACCATTCAAAGGTTTCCCTTGTGCCCCCTTGGGACCGTATTTTTCCTGCAAACAAAAACAAAGAAACCAAACCCTTGAATTCAAAATATTTCCTAATCCAAACCGTTCGATTCGTAATCCAAACAATGAGCGCTCACCGCCTCAGTCATACATTGTGTGTGACCTTGAACGGTGTCTCTCCCAAATGTCTCTCCGCAATCAATGCACGAAAGCTGAAACATTGTTTCAACAAGAACAACAACAACAGCGACAATATTAGCAACCCAAAAAGTTAAAACCCAAACTTTCTCGGCAACCAAACAGAGTCTTAGATAGGGAAAGAAGAGACCTTTCGAGCCGAGCAGCAGTTAAAGTGACCCAAAACCTTGGGTTTCTTGAGGTTGTCTCCGCAATCCTCGCACTGAAACCACACCATCTCTCTGATTCAGCCTTATGAAACAAACCCAAAATCAAATCCAGAAGAGAGAGAAAGCTCTACGACCAGGTGACCGAAGAGTTGATCCAAGTTCCGGGGGTTAAGGCATTTGCAGGAGGATTCAGAATTAGGGTTTTTGGTTATAAGTTTCCATGCTAAAAAGAACGCGACCGGTTTCTTGATTGCCATCACATTTCGGCCCACATGTGAAGGCCCAAAATTTGAACTACGTTTATCTCAATTTAAGCCCATAGTGCTGCATACTTTTTTGGACGACACTTTATTTTTATTAATTATTATTTGAGCGGTGTTCTAAGCTACTTTAAACTACAGAGTTACTTTGACATACATAACACTTTGGGATGTGGTATGGGTAAGCGGAGATTCTTGACCATTGATATATGTACAAATCTGAACAAAATTTTGGTGCTAATTAAAATTAGTGGTTCTACTCTTGCATAGGGGTGGGAAATTTTGCCATAAATCGATTTACCGATCGAACTATATCGGTCGGCTCATAATGGTATGGTATAGTTTTGGCATTTTTCTATAATCGGTTGGCATTTTACATAACCGATAATGGCATGACTTTGGTAATTGATTTTGTATACTGGTGGTATGCCATACCTACCAATATATATATTTCTATTAAGATATTTTAGGTATTTTTTACATGCTTGATTCCTCAGTTTTAGGGTTTAGAAAATAAATGAGTCCTTAGTTTTAGGGTTTAAAAAATATATGTACATGTATATGTATATGATTCATGCCATAACAAATATAGAAAATATTGTTAACAAAATTGATAGCATGATGATTATTGATACTATATATACACGTACACATATATGATTTTGAATGTATAAGCGTTGCTTACGTTTAGGATGATGGAGTCTAGCCAAACAACCACTAGTGCACAACATAGATTAACCCAAAATGAACCACACAATGCAACCGAACAAGCACCCCAATCTGAAAATTAAATTGAGCCCTTGGAACTGGAAGATAACAAGGAAGGAGTGGAAACCACCGGTTGTGCCATTTACCAACCGAACCAACCAATAATTTTGGATGAACCAATTTTTGGCAACAGCAAGAAGACGATTGGCTAGTGGTAATTGATTTTTGGTAATTACGTATATGTGGTTGGCAGGTGGCACAAGAAATTTGGCATGGTTTGCCAACCGAACCCAACCCTATTCTTGCATCATATTTTTTTTACCCCAAAAGTCCATTTTTAAGGAGTGTTTTTTTTTTTTTTTTTTTTTTGATAATTTGAATATCAAATTGGGTCACTTGTATCATAGGTTATTTATTTATTATTATTAAAAATACAACTTTCCATCCAAAGTGGGTGTGAATTTTTGCTTTTAGCAATGATTTTGTTTTAAGTATCAGTATGATGAAATGTCCACTAATGAATAACAACAGTTTGTATTAGCATGGAGTTTAACTTGGAGAGAAGCAAGAAATTATGTCCTACAAAATGACTCGTTTTCTTTTATTTGGATTATCTTTTAATCTATTTAATCTAAAAATTAAGAAAAGATCGTAAGAAAAATAAAGGGATCGAGATTGGTAGTCACTTTTGTTAATTAAGTCACAAAACAATGGAGATATCCCATTTTCACGTGAGAAAAATGTAAAGAAAAAGTTAGAAAGAAAGAAAAGGGTGTCCCTAAACGCTAGCTATTAGGCATAGCCGTCCCCTTGAAGAAATTTGGACGACACTTGGTCGTGGTGGCCATGGCAGCTGTCCTTTCTTAACCCCTTCTGTTTCTGATGTTTGAAAAAGTTGCTTGCACGCCATGGAAGCTGAGGCCTCTCTATATGTAAGGACATGCGTGGGACATGGGATAAGCCAAAAGCACTAGGATTCGAATTATAGCTTTTTCCCACAGCACAGCTTCTGCTTAGTAGTGCGCTCTTCAGCTCCTGCTATGATTTTTAAGCACTAGTGGTTGTCACACTTGGCTTCTGGCTTTTTTTCCAAGTAAAATTTTCCACACACTAGAAAGTCATAATTTGAAAACAAATGTGTTGGTTAATTAATGTTAAAGCCTCCTTTACAGTCTGAAATCAAAATAGTTAAAAGAAAAACATGTAGGAAAACTGGTCACGTAAAAAGCTGTATTACCAATAATGAACTCTAAAACAATAGGAAAAGTAAAAAGCAAGATATTTTTTGGTGCCCTTGCGTTCATCGCTCTCACACGATCAGAAACTCAAGTTACGTGATGGGAAATAAACTCAAAAGAAGATATGTCACAACACATTTGTAAGTCTTTATCTCTCATCACGTGCATGGCTCTACATAAACTCTAAAACCCGCTATAAAACAGCAAATTCTCTCCAGGATTAAGGGTTTTTTAAATTTTGAAAAATTCTTGTTTGACAGATTGTCACCAAAGAGGAACAGTCGTGGTGTTTTCATTGTAAAGGGGTATACAATTTCAATGATCGCAACCACGCTCCAATCATTCAAACAAAGAGAAAAGAGAAGGAAATTGGTTGAGTAGTACGTACAAGTGTCCTCTGCTTCTCTGTATATGGACTGCACCTGCAACTTGCTTGCCTTAGAACTTCAAATTAATATTTTTAATTATCTTTCCTTCTTTTTAAAATCTATTTTATTTTATTTTTATTTTGGTGAATTGGCAGATCAGATTATTAAGAACAATGCTTAGCTACTCAAAGATGAGTAAAAACTTCTACTCAAAACTCTTCGTGTTCGAATCATATAGTTTTGTGCTTATGATCAGAACTGTTCATATTATAAGTCACATGGTAAAGATCATTTCTGTAAAAAATAAAATGAAACTAAGGTCGTTTTGTTAATATATTTTAACAAATATATAGACGGTTCGTAATATTTTTACCAATTCCGTTAATTTGATTTTATACAGTTCGATGATTAAACGACCTTAGTTTTAATTGATTTTGTACAGAAGGGATCTTTATAGAGTGATTTTTAATATGAACAGTTCTGATTATAAAAAACAGAATTCTATAAATCGACAACAAATAATTTTGAGTAAGAACTCCTACTCTTTCTTTGAGTAGGGAAGTATTGTTCGATTATTAATTTGGATAAAAGATTCTTACACTTGAATGTTTTTAAATAATTTTATATTTGTCGGTGTACTATTGGTTGTTATCAACAACTATTGTGGAGTGATACACACTACCATACAATTCTAAAAACATATTAAGTTATGTATAATGCATTAAGCATGATTAAGTTTTGGTATTAATTCGAATGCTTCAATCTAATCCACCCTCATTATTCACATGTATAGTTTTGCTTTCATTTTATTTGATTATACACGTTCTTATCAATCTTATCTCTAATTTACCTACACAAGCACGAAACTAGTTCATAAAAGATAACAGTTTCGTAATACGTTACGTCTACGTATTCAAATCTACATGATTAATAGTTCAGATGAATGCATGTAACACACCGATTCTTATTCAAAAGAACGTCCTATCATCTATAAAATTTAATAACAATAGAAGATATTTAGTGCAAGTACCCGAGAGAGTGAGTTATGCGCTTGAAAGATACTCATATCTTCGTTTGTATACTCTTTGTATTTCTCTCATCACCGAAGTTCTAAAAAACGTTAGGTACTAGTCAGGATGGATTTAAATTATGATTGGGATCGATTTGAATACAACGCTCTCAATGGATTTTGATTAATAAGAAATTATGAAACGTGGATTATTAATATTTGATTTTCAAAGGGCATATCTTTGTCTGCCAAATTATTTTTCTTTTTGTTGACCAAAAAAACAAACTATATTTCTTATTTTGTACTCTTTATCTCCACAAGCAAAGCCCTAAAACCCCAACTCATCAAAAGCAACGCAAGTAAACAAAGCCTAAAGACCCATCAAAACCGCCACCCCCCACCTACTTGTCCCAACTCACCATCATCATCACCACCACCACCACCACCACCCCCACCCCCCCTCCTCCATGCCTCGCCGCCATGGCTCACCGTCTCCTCTTTTAAGTCCACCGTTGCTCATCATCCTCTTCCCCATCATCATCTCACTCATCCTCTTCTATACCATCCCTCCATTCCTATCTCTCACCTCTCAACTCCTCCGCCCCACCATTTCCGCCAAGAAAAGTTGGGACTCCCTCAATGTGTTTCTCGTCATTTTCGCAATCCTATGCGGCGTTTTCGCCAATCGAAACGAAGACGCATCACCTACCGAGGAAGATCGCATTCCCGACCATAATATTCCACACCCTTTGGACAACGTAACTACAAACAGCGCGAACATATCGGAATCGGAAGCAGCTGGGTCTGTACTTCCGCAGCAATGGTTTGGATATTCAGAGAGGAGGACCCCGGAAATCGGTGATGGCCGGTTGAGGAGGAGCAGCAACTCGTACCCGGATCTGAGGCAACTCGGGCAAGACTCAGTGTGGGAAACACCGGATCACAACAAGCCGCAGTTCCGCTTCTTCGACGACTTCGAAATCGGCAATTACAATCGTGCGCCGTCAACTTCACACCAACGCCGATCCGAGGGGTACTCAGATGTAATTAAGGAGATTCCGGTGGATACTTTCGTACTTCACTCTTCTCATCCCCCGCCGCAAAAGCCACCAACACCGACACCTCCACCGCCGCCTCCACCACGTCAACAAAAAACGAGAAGGACGTATCAGACCTTTCGACGTAAACATCCAAAAACGGAGAAAGTAGTGAATAATCATATTACTGAAGAGGGTGAAGAAATTGAGAACGTTCGAACTTCGCCACCGACGCCTCCACCTCCTCCGCCGCCAAGGCCTGCTGCCCCGCCATCGCCAATTCGGATTCGGTCAGAGCCGAAGCGCCGGAAGAGTAATGTGAAGAAGGAGATAGCGATGGTTTGGGCTTCGGTTCTGTCTAATCAGAGAAAGGGGAAGAAGAAGCACAAGGTCACCGGTACCAGAAACATCTACGAAACTGTTGCTTCTCTGCCTGAAGACCAACAACAAGGAGGAGAAGGAGAATACTTTTTCACAAGACCGCCGCCGTCGCAACCTCCTCCACCGCCACCCCCACCGCCGCCACATTCTGTGTTTCATAATCTGTTCAAAAAGGGAATGAGCAAAACTAAGAAAGTTCACTCCATCTCGACGCCTCCAACTCCACCACCACCACCACAGCCGGCATTGCGGAAACAAAAGAGTTGGAATACTAGTTTTCCGCTGGCGCCACCAACTCCGCCTCAACAACCACCGCCGGCTACTTCCCGACGGCGATCTTCCACCTCCAGTGGCCGTCCGCCGTTGCCGACTAAGTCGAGCAGTTATCTGTACGAGGAAAATGTAAACAGCGGCAGCCAGAGTCCGTTAATTCCAGTGGCGCCGCCACCTCCTCCGCCGTTCAAAATGCCGGAGCTGAAGTTTTTTGTGCGCGGGGATTTTGTTAAGATACGGAGTGCGGAGAGCTCACGCTGTGGATCTCCTGAATTGGAGGACGTTGATGACGTTGATGCGTCGCCACGTAAGGAAGAAGACTTGAAGTCAAAGTCAGAAGTACAGAGTAAAGTCAACGTGATGGACACTGGAGATGGTGGTGATGGTGGCGGCAGCGGCGGCAGATCCTCCGTGTTCTGCCCTAGCCCAGATGTTAATACGAAAGCTGATAACTTCATTGCTAGGCTGAGAGATGAGTGGAAGCTTGAGAAGATGAACTCAATGAGGCAGAAAAAGAAGATGCCCTAATCTGCATGCACTGGTTTTTTACTCACCATTGTCTACTTTTACATTCACATTTGATTTTAACACTTAGATATAGAACTAAAGTATATACTGGCAAAGAAAACATGGAAGACATTAGGGCTTTGATTGGGTTTTTGTCCATCTTTTGGAGCACCCTCTGCCTCTTGGTCTAAATTCTGTCATACAATCGGTGGATATACGCGACCAAAGATATAGGAAGAGGAGAATATATTCCCGATATATTTCCGATTACACTAACAAATCTCTCTACTATGTAGTAGATACAGAGTGACGTGGATTTGGATATTGGGTTGATTGTGTTTGATGACGTGAGTGTGCATTGAAGAAGCACACAAAATAATAGGCAATGGGTTTTCCGAGTGTGGCTTTATTTTTTCCTCACCTCTTGGAGCTCGTTGTGGAAGAAGTAGGCGAATTTTTGGATTTGGTACTTGTATTATGTATGGATTGGGGGATCTAAATGTGGTTTTTGTTCACCTCTTAGAGCCATTTTGTATTAAAGTACAATGTGTGTGTATGGGTTTTATAATTTGAACAAGTTTTGTTTTTGTGTGCAATCTTCTTTATATGTATATAACATGAGAAATTTGCATGAAACGAAGTGCATACAATATTTTGTAAGTTATTGAATTGTCATTACGGTGCAACAATCTAATAATGATTATTATTTTATATCCTAAAGGGGAAAGATGAACCTTTAATAATTAAACGAACTAACACATGATAGACATTGTTGTAATTTGTATGATAAAGTTTCTTCTAAGTTGTTGTCCTACAGAACAATGTAATTGAAACGAGAAAATGGCATCATTGCTTTATGTTAAAATTGAAGGATAATGTAAAAGGTGTGGGTGGAGTGGTTTAAAATAAAAGAGAAGTCATTACTCATTAATAAAACTAGAGTACAAGTAACATGATCACAAATGCAACTTTAATTCAAAAAAAAGAAAGATTTTTAGTCAAAACAGTTTTTGAGATTATCGTACCTCTTCACTTTAGTTTATGAAATTTAAAATCGATAGAAGTGGTATTTGAGATTGTCCACCGTCAATCATCTTGGTCATTCTATGAAAATTCTTAGTTAAATTGAAGAAACAATCAGTTCAAGTGGAAGAGTTGATTTGATAAAAACATCCTCAGTTTAACGGAAATTCTTCACAAAATGATCAAAATGACTAATTGTGGACAATCTTAGGGATCAGTTCGTGACACACCCCGACCGAGATCAGGGCGTGCTGGCCATCACGCAGAGGTGACGTAACCATGTGCACAGTGCGGAAGCTAATAAAACAATAATAGAAGAAGCACGAATAATTAAAAACTAGCATACATAGGGTAAAAGTAATAAGTGCTAGCGTAAGTGAGACGCTAGTTCAGAGCAGAAAGCCTAAAGCAGTCCAAATTAAAAATGACGCTACAACCGTACACCTGAAGGTGAACCTACGCTGGTGGTCGTCTGTCAGAAATGCCGAGAAAGCCCTCTGGGAAACCACCGAACCTGCTAGGTAGCTAGAACCTGGAGGGGCGCAAAACAAAAGCGTGAGTGGGCAAAAACAAAGCTTTTCAAAAACCATTTAGCAAAATAAGTTCTAACCCCTTGCCGTAAAACCTGTATACTTCCTAGAAAATAAACATATGTACGTATATATAGATATGCCAATCATGCTCAAGAATATGCCATGTCGGAACCTCAAAATGAAATGCAAGTGCTCAGGTATAAATCACATCAATAATATATAATCTGGCAGCCGGAGTCACCTAACGTGACCTGTACGGCTGCATCTAGAGCTCAGATCTCCATCACAATAACTAAACCTTCCCACGAGTCGGAACCACCTAAGTGGTCTGTACGACAGGCCTGGGTGTAATACATATAAACGTTCTAGTGCTACGATCACGTGAAGGCTGCGCGAATAATCGCGGGTCACCTACGAGTCGGAACCACCTAAAGTGGTATGTACGACAGGACTGTGCACCTAACTTGGATCCAAGCTGAGCGTGTAGTGCGGGAGGTGAACAACAAGTGAAGGACTGTGCCCTACTCTGGGCGGGAGCACTAACACTGGGGGTGCAAGTTATGAGCTCTCTAAGCATCTCTAATCACTATTGAACGCAAATATTAAATAACGCTTACCTGGCACTTACCTGTGCGTCCACAGCACCAAATATGCATACGTATATATATACGACTAATAAAGTAATTAATGATGCATAAGTAACGATAATATAACACATGGCATATAATTAATAAACATTTAAATCAATTTCTGGGAAAATAAAGTATATAGGTATATACGGAAAACCAAAAGCCCACTCACTGATAAGTGGAAGGGTCGTAGCCCCCCTGCCTCAAGTGACCACGCTCGTCCTCGGGATATGTTTCACCTATGCGAAATAACTATAAAAACGTAAATTTTAAAGCACATAACCAAACTTTCGAAATAACTTCTCATACATTGCTCAAATGGGGCAAATGAATATACCAACGTGCTCTACTCGACCTCAGGATCACACCCAAATTTTTAGAAAAAATTTTCACCGCCGCACGCGCCCCCACGCGCAGGCACGTGTCTGGCACGCTGACGGCGTCAATTGACGCCGTAGGGAATATTTCGTTAGTTCTAACGGATTCCGTCAACGGCGTCAGGAATATTCCGTCAGATTTGACGGAATATTCCGTCTTCTTCCCCGGCTAACCTCCGGCGCCGTCGCCGGCGCCGGAAAACTGGAAAATTTTCAAACGTTGATATCTCGTTCGTTTTTCGTCCAAATTTCATAAAATTACTACCAAATTGAAGCTTAGACCTAGGAGAACACCAATATACCACTTTTAAGGGTTAAAAACCACGAGATCTCACCTGTCCACACAATCCAATTCCGGCCAACTTCGAATACGGTGATCCCGACGTCCAATTCCTTCAAACGAACTACTCCGAGACTCCTTGGGACCTCACCAAGCTACCTACAAGCTTCATTTTCCCTAAAACGTGAGAAATTACGTTTGCATGAATAGTACCCAAATCGGACATCGTCGAATCGACGTGAAAACGATGGAGTTCTCACCTGAAAATGGTACGGTTGGGCTCCCACGAGCCTCACGAGCTCGAATATGTACTCAGTTCCTTCGATCTGTGGGTGTTTGATGAGCTTTGGGTGTATGTCCGTACGTATATGGTGAATGGGAAAGGAGAGAGGACTCGGGACAGAGGCTGGGAAAGGGACAGAAGGGCTGTGGTGTGTGGGAAGGTGTGTGTGGCACCAAACATGCCAACAAAACCCCAAAACAAACAATAAACGTAACGAAATCGAACTAGGGGCAAAACTGTCTTTTCACATGTACGTTTTAAAATGTTTTTAGGACGGGCTGTCACAGTTCGGCTAAAAAGCCTTAAAAAATATAATAAGAACATACAAAATCAAGTGGGAAATTTGCAATATATAGTTAATTCTAAGTACGAAATTGCATTAGGAAACACCATTCGTCCCTTCCTAGCCAGCTACCAACGAACATGCATTCACATCCTTTTTGGCAATTTAAATTTTTGGTCCGGCCGGCCCCAATCAAGCACTTAGATATACAGATGATGAATAGGCGAACACGTAGCTGGGTATTGGGGTCCAGATTAAAGTAGTTGAGTATGGTCGGTGGCATAAATGAATATCTAGGTTTAGGGCACCATTTGGGACAGTTCAACATCAACCTAACCTAAGCTTTGAACTCATGGCGAATCAGTAGGAGGCAATATACCGGTTAAGTATTGATTTAGTGATTTTTTTTCCTTCTTATTAATATGGTATAAGTGTAGAGTTCGAATTCCAGTGATAAATGTAAAAATTTAAGAGAATATACGTCTAAGTTTTGAGTTAACGTATCTATTATGAAGCTTACATTAAGATTAGTCTAAATCTCCAATCAATTTTAGAATTTTTTTAACGACAAAAAAGAGATTGATGACAAAAGATATGAAGACACATTGCACAAAGAAACTGGAGAAACATTGGCTACAATGGTCCAAGGACAAAAATATATGTGTACAACGAACCAGTCAATAAACAAAGGACAATCACACTCATTTTTATCTCTCACGCATCCTTGTTAATTTTTAATCGTTGATATTTTATAATTCATTCAATCCAACGGTCGAAAAAATATGTGAAAAGTAAAAATTAGTGTGTAAATTCACTATAACCTCTCCGAATTTAGATGAGTGAATAACCGTAGCTTGACAATTGACACTAGTTCCTTTTTAAAAAAAAGAACAAAGACCTAACAAATCCACTCAATTACGGGCCGAAAATTTACGGGTAGGTCCAAACTCTACAACAACTAAAATCTTAGCCCAAACATAAAGCCCAAAAAACTTCCAGAAACAGAAAATTGAAGACTGAAAAGAGTGAGGAAGTGAGCAAACTAGGGTTCTTGTCGTTTCACCAAAATCAATCACCAATGAAGCTAGCCGGACTGAAATCAATCGAGGACGCGCACGACGAGTCGGTATGGGCAGTGACGTGGGTGCCGGCCACCGAGTCCCGACCCTCTTTGCTGCTAACCGGGTCACTGGACGAGACCGTGAGGCTGTGGCAACCGGACGAGCTGGTGAACCGCGGAAAAATGACCGGCCACTGCCTCGGCGTGGCTTCGGTGGCGGCCCACCCCTCCGGCCGCATCGCCGCATCGGCTTCGCTGGATAGCTTCGTCAGGGTATTTGATGTTGATACCAACAATACCGTGGCCAGTCTCGAAGCCCCGCCATCTGAAGTGTGGCAATTAAGATTCAATCCCCAGGTACTTTGTTGCAAATGTTGGAAATTTTGGATTTTTATTTTCTGAGTAAAGTTTGTAGTTAATTACTTGTTTTTGTATCTATGCATTAAATTCTGCTTAGTTTATTTTTATTTACTTTGAAAATTATGCTAAATTTAGACTTGGGGATTTAGAATATGTTGTATTTTGCTTGGCTGCTTTGCTAATAGTGTCAGAGATGCCAATTGGAGACAAACTTACCTACGCTATGCGGAATGTAGCAGTATCTCAAGCATATCACACTTTGTCATACATCTTATAACGCCATACGTTTTAAATTTCCCACCTGATATTGCGTGATTGACTTCAGGATACCATTTGAAACTTACCACGTGAAATTGCGTGAATGCTTAGATACCACCACAATGGTGTCCCCGTTTTCGGGAAAGTTCTTGAGAAGTTGTTGATCTCTTTTAGTTCTTAATTGTTAAACTGATATTCAAAGTGGACCAAATTTGAATAAATGAGATGCTCCAAGTGAACATATTTAGTGTTTGTATCTAAAATTAAGACTTATTTTAGGGTCTTTAGCATTACATTTATCGAGGCTCCGAGTGATTTCTGATTCATACTGAGAACCATCTTTTTTGTTTGCCAAAGCAAGTTTGGAGGCATTTGATTGAAGGTTTTTGAAGCAGACCCTTTTGGTAATATTCAAATTGATGCTAATTTGTGGGTACCTGATCAGGGTACCATGCTAGCTGTGGCAGGTGGGGGAAGTGCATCAGTCAAAGTTTGGGACACTGCCACATGGGAGATAGTAGCCACATTGTCGATTCCTCGCCCCGAAGGAACCAAGCCAACTGATAAAAGCAGCAGCAAGAAGTTTGTGCTATCGGTTGCCTGGAGTCCTGATGGGAGACGCATTGCTTGTGGCTCAATGGATGGAACTGTTTCTGTTTTCGATGCAGATCGTGCCAAGTTCCTGCACCACCTGGAAGGCCACTTCATGCCAGTGAGGTCTCTCGTGTTTTCACCCGTTGAGCCAAGGTTACTCTTCACAGGCTCAGATGATACCCATGTGCACATGTATGACGCTGAAGGAAAAACCTTGGTTGGAGCTATGTCAGGTCACGCAGGATGGGTCCTGAGTGTAGATGTGAGTAGTGACGGGGCGGCTGTTGCAACGGGCTCAAGTGATAGAACCGTGAGGCTGTGGGATATCAGTATGAGGGGAGCTGTGCAGACAATGAGCAACCACACTGACCAAGTCTGGGGAGTGGCGTTTCGACCAGGAGGAATGCCTGGTAGACTTGCAAGTGTGTCGGATGACAAGAGCATATCGCTGTACGACTACTCTTGAAGTGGCTGGCTCGGGGAGATATGAGAACCTTAGAAATTTACCAGATTGTTCACTTGAAATCGGTTTGTTTGACACCTTGTTCTGATGTTCTGTTTGTAATACACAAAAAACTAGTGTTGGTCGAGGGAGGGAATGCATACCTATTAGACGGATCTTTTACCGTCGAATTGGTGAACCCTTTACAGTAAAAAATGAACTGGCGAAGCCTTAGATGTGACCTTGTTAATGTGTATTCTTAGGCTCGCAGCTTTAACAAGTTTGTTTTGGCATATATGTGTTTGGTCATTTTTTCAGTTGGGTTTTAATTCACCTTTTGTCCGTATATTGGAAAATTATGTGGCATTTTTTTTAGATCGAATGTGTATTTTTTGTTGCTTCTTGGTTCAAGAAAAAGAAAATAAACCAACAGATTTCTCTCCTTTCTACCCTATTACTTTGATGTTTAAGAAAAAGGCGTTGTTATTGACACTTTAAGAGAATCATTTTACACTATTAAGAGTATTTTCTCTCTTTAATTTTTACATACTAAGGTAGCTCATACTGAGTTTTTGAATTTCATACTTTTGTGAGAAATATGTTATGAATGAGTGGTTCAAGTGTCTCAACTCAAGTGTTTATCGTACAAAGCAGTTGACGTCCCAAATGGTGCATACTCTTTTTCTTGCATCAATCCACTCCACAATCCACTCCACCAACCCAAAAAAAAAAAAAAAAAATGTAACGGTGTGATAGTGACACCGAAAAACACGCCCAGCGGGAAGCTTAAACTTTATGACTCGATATTTACCAAAAAGGAAAAAAAGCAGTTCATGACTTGACAGCACCATTCAACATTGTCAAGAATGATAAAACAACTTGGAGAATCACACGAAAACAAAAATAACGACATGACACCACCATGGCACCATGGGAGAAGTCATTACAAACACAAACACCTTCCAAACATGTGGGAAACTAGAAAATTCCTTAAAACACGCAAACGAAAGAGCAGCATAGAGATGTGTATCATAAGATTCATCCAAAAAACCCTAGGGATATGTTGTTGCACTAATGTTGCACCAGATGTCTGAATGTGATCAGAAACATGGTCATTTACGTACATCTATGTCGGACAATTTTCACAAGTAAATATAAGATTATATTTTCTAAACATACATAAAACAGAAAAACAAAATTAACTCTCTCGATTAATCCAAAAGCAACGTGCTGAAATCCAAGCATCAACAGCAAAATGGGATACTTTGTTACATTAATACAAAAAACTTGCTTGCTAAACCTCCTCTCTCACTTAGACCTTTGGTGCCTTGTTGAACAAATACTCCTTGAGCACATCCATAACCTCCCCGAATTCCGCCTTCACCTCCGTCGGCGGGTTAGCGAACCGGCATGCCATGTCCTTGATTGCCTTGGAGTGATAGTCAACTTTCGACTGTGTAAACTTCAGGCCATGAGCAGTACTCACCACCACAGTCCGATCACCGGCTCCAATCACACCACTCTTCCTCAGCTTATCCAATGCGGTTAGGGCAACGCCTGTATGAGGGCAGATAAACATACCCGTGGAGTCGGCTTTCGCCATTGCGTCCATCAGCTCCTCCTCACTTGCTTCCTCCACAATCCCATCACAATTCTTCAGAGCATACACGGCTCTGTCGATTGAAACAGGGTCCCCAATCTGAATAGCCGAGGCGAATGTCGAATTCGCCTTCACCGGCTTGAAATCCTTCCACCCTGACTTGTAATACAAGTAAAGCGGGTTCGCATTTGCTGCCTGAGCGCAAACCATCCGCGGAATTCGATCCACTAACCCCAATTCCTGGCACATTTTGAACCCTTTGTAAAATGCATAGATGTTGCCTAGATTGCCTCCGGGAACAATGACCCAATCGGGCACTTCCCAATCAAATTGCTGCAAAATCTCAATCGCCGCCGTCTTCTGCCCCTCCAGCCTCAAACTATTCAGCGAATTCGCCAAGTAAATTGGCAATTCGGCCGTGATTTCCCTGATTAGCTTCATGCAGCCGTCGAAATCGGTGTTGATGCTCAGCACGAACGCGCCGTTCGCAATCGGCTGGACCAATTGCGCCATTGAAATTTTGTTAGCTGGTAAGAAAACAATCGAGGGAATACCTGCGGCAGCGCAATAAGCGGAGAGAGCTGCCGACGTGTCGCCGGTGGAGGCGCAGCCGACTCCGACGACGGGGCGATTGAGCTTCCTGAGGCGGTTGACCTGGCTGATTAGCACCGTCATGCCGAGGTCCTTGAAGCTGCCGGTGTGGCTGATCCCGCAGTGCTTGACCCAGAGATCGTTCATGCCCAGAAACTGTTTGCCGAAACGCTCCGCCCAGAAGAGGTTGGAGTTCCCCTCGAACGCCGAAACGATGTCGTCGTCGTCAATCTCGGGCAGGACCCACTCCTTCTTAGACCAGACGCCGGAGCCGTACGGCCACGTGGTCTTCCCCACGCGGGAGTCGAAGAGTCTCCGCCAGTACGCGCCGTCGAACTTCCGCAGCGCATCCATATCGTGCTGGACGTCGAGGAGGCCGCCGGATTGGCTGCGGTAGACGATTTCGTCGAGCGAGTAGGACTCGGGCGAGTCGAAGCCCGAGTTGAACGGAACGTACTTGGCGGAGAAGCTGTGGGGGGAGCGGTGTCGGCGGGCCTCATCGCGGATGTTCTCATCGGCGGCGCGGCGGGTCTTGCTGGAAGGGGGCTGGGGCGGGGTGCTGTTTGTTGCGGGGGAGGGATCGAATGTGGAGGAGGTGCAGGATACGGAGAGTGAGGAGGTAGGGGGGCGTTTGGATGCGGAGTTTTGGTAAAACGCGGGGAGATTAGGGGAGAGGGAGGAGAGAGAGGAGTGGAACAAGGCGGAGGAAGCCATGGCTGAGGAGAGGGAGAGAGGGGAAGTGTGTGGAAGGAGGCGGCGCGCGTTTGGACTTTGGAGGGGTTTGGAGTGGTGGGTGATGTTTAGGGGGAGGAGGCTGCGGGGTCGTGACTCATTACTATTAGTAGGTCCGTTTGGGACACGTGTGCGAATTAGGCGTGTTTTTGTTTCGGCATATGGATTTATGAATTGGAAATGTAGTCGTGGGTATGTTCATTGTGCTCATTTTCTCAAGGTCAAACCGCTGAAATTTCTCTCCTCCTGTGAGCGTGAGAACCTCTTCCCTCCTCCTGTGCGAGCTTTTCTCGCCGTTGTGTGAGTGTTCCTTCGTTTTCGTAGATTCGCTTCGCCATTAGCCCTAAATTTGACTATGGTCAGTGGCTGTTCCATCCTCTTCCATTCCCATGTTGGAATATTTGATTGAGTATTTCAAAATACAGCTCATAAATCAAAGCTTCATCGGTCAAATATCATTCTTTAATGATTTCTTTTTATTCTTAATTTCAATTTTGTTTGCCAACAAAATCTGACGGTACAAATCTACCACAAGGACGGCAGACATAACAGATCTATACCACAGCCTATGTAATATCATCACCAAAAAAGCGAGATCATATCAAAACCAACACTTGGCAAAGCGAGGCCACAATGAAACCAAGTCTGACAATCCAGGTCACACCAAAACACCGGTCACAAACTAGCCACAATACTCACAAGGAGAGACATTACCCGCTAGAAGTGTGATAGGAGCATATTTAGGCGACTTACTTAGCTTGTTTTCGTGCATCTATGTTGTTAATTCATAGTTGTTTTAGTAGTTTAAGCCATTTTCGTGTGTTTTTAGGTTCATATGGCTAAGGAAGCAAAAAGATGCATTTTGGAGCAAAATTGGGCTTGGAATGGATAGCATATGATTGGAGCCAAAGTGTTGGACGAATTTGAAGGCCTTGTATTCATTTTGGACATAAAACAAAGGGCCTAGCCCATTCTCTCTTAAACCAACCCCAAGGCCATGCATTTCCTTCCAATTCCAAAGCCCACAATCACTTCAAAAGCCATGCAAAGAACCATCCATTCCATAAAAAACAATCCATCAATTCACATGCAAAACCACCATTAACACACATGCACCCAAAAAAAGCCAACCTAGCTAACCCTACATGCATTCTTTATGCAACTCTTCATCATTCCACCATTCATTCTTTATTCCACAAACAAGTCACATGCATTTCCACCTTCCTACTTCATCATTTCACCACATTCTCCCTCTTTAACTCATTTCATTATTCATTCACTTTGCATTCATTCAATTCCACCCCACATGCACCCTTTATTCTTCATCATTGCAACCATGGCACATTTACACCAACAAAACAACTCCCATGCCATGGCCTACTCATATTCCCATTTCCTTTCCAACATCTCACATGCATTTCCACCTTCCTACTTCATCATTTCACCACATTTTCCCTTTTATTTCCACATGCAATTCTTCATCATTGCAACCACAAACACCTTAAACAAATAGCCATATACATCTCCACTCCTCCTATAAATACCATTGCATTCATTCATTCAAAAATCATCTCATTCACAACACAACACACCACAAACACTTCCCTAGCCGTGAGTTTCTCTCCCTTAGAATCCAAAAACCATCTTCCATTTCCACCACTCCTCATCCATTTCCATAATTTCCCAACACTTCCATCCCCCCAACCAACTATCCCTAGACCTTATGCTACAATAAAGAGGAAGATAAGAGGGCCTAAACGTTCATACAATTCAAGATTGAGTTGTTGGAATGTTTAGGCATTTCTTTGATTTCAATGTTTAATTTCAATTCTCTTTGTTTTGTACGTATGAGGAAATAAACCCCCTTTAGCTAGGGGTGATTCGAAACTATGTTTATGTTTGTAATATGATTTGATTACTTTTAATTACGTTTCATAAGTTGTGAATTCAATTTGTTTAACTGTTTGATTGATAACCTATTTATGTATGTTTATTAAGAATGAACGCTTAATTTTCATGCATGAATTTGATGCTAGAATATAAGTGAGTTTCACGTAATAGTTATGAACTTATATTCACAAGTAGTGGAGGTTGCTTATAAACAATCGTGTTAAACATATTCTTGGCATAAGTTTCATGCAATCATAGTAACGAATGCCTCGTCAACACTTATAGTTTTCATGTTGCTTAATGATTCTTGCTTGTATCTCTATTATGCAATTCATGTAGGGAACTTGTGAGGAATGCTTTGGATTGTCGTATGCAATCATCCAATTCATTAACTTAAGGAAAACTTGACGGTTAATTTAAGCGGACCTAATTAACCCGGGGCGTTGAGAATTCATGGTTTATTGAAAAGCAATTAGACATCGTTTTGTATGCAAGTATAACATATGTGGAGATGAACCCCTTAGCTAGCTTCCCATCCATTCATTTCCGTCAAATCCATATTTACAATTTGTTTTGTTTCCAAGTTTCCATTTTTAGTTTAAAGTCGTCCAAATCCAATCCCCCTTTACTTTATTGTTCAATTTAGTTAGAAATCAATTTAGTTTGTGTTTTTAAAGCATTTTGAGTCTTTTGGTTTGTCTTAGTGTTTTAACGTTTAGTTTCACATTCTTTGAGTCTAATTTAGTGTTTTATCTTATTTTTACGTTTTTGAAGTCAAAATCCAAGTGGTTAACAATCCCTCCTAATCCCCGGTCCAGAACGATCCCTACTTACATCCATACTACAATTGACAAAAAGAGGGTTTAATTTGTGTGCGTATAATTCTCGCATCAAAGTGGTACAAACAAACCTACGCTGATACTACACAAATCCGAGAAAATGAAATCCTCTTGGAGGCCTAATTGCATCCATTGACCCCTCACCACCTGCAACTAGTGCAAGTCCGCTGCAACCCGCGAGCCAAGGCCGTCAGTGGAAGGCGGAGACACTACTAAACAGTTGAGAGAACCACAAAACACGGAAAAGCAAGCCATAGGGGAGGATCTGACTCACCGACAACCAAAAACACCAGCCCAAACCCGCAGATCTAGCCACCTGCAACTAATGCTTCTTGAATTCCCTATATTTGGGCCACGTTTTGTTTTGTGATTAGCCCCTATATATCACTATTGCATAAATCAAAAAAGAAAATTGTAGTTCCAGTCAAGTCCTCTCCCATTCTATAAGTTTTCAATCTTTCTCTTTTAATTTGATCACCCATTATCTTAAGTGCTATCGTAGTTTTCACTTCTATACCAAATGAAAAAATCGGGTTGTTCCTTCAATCTAAGTATTGCGAGTGTATATTTACAAGGATCATAGATTGATGTATCCTAGATGGTAGAGCGTCATATTGGCTCCATCATCTCTCAAGCTGTACTCAATTCTTTTCGTGTTCCGTGTTTTGTCTCTGATCTATGGTTTAGAGTATGTGGAGCTTTGGCTCGAGCATTCGCACCATCACTTTTGTTGGTCCTTCCCAATGTTCGTCCTTATCGGTGATGTTACTTGTACAATCTCTCTTCTTGCGTGTTTCCATGGTTTTGTGGCGGCGGTCAATGTGGTGATCCTTGGAGGATGATGCGACTGTTTTTCTTCTTCACTTATGGGTTTCTTGCTGGCTTGGTCTATCGGTGGAATCTGCAGAATATTTGAGTGAAGAGTGTGAAATAATAGGAAATGAGAGCAAAAACCAACTGCAAATTGGTTAAACCAGCTAAATCAAATCAAGTCGTTTCGGTTGAATTTTAAACTACAAAAATGTAGTATACTAAGACAATATCAAACCAAAATGCAATTAGTTCGATTGGTCATGTTTTGGAGTTGCATGAATTGACCCAAATTCCTGTTTACTTTTTCACACTTGGCATTTATAGTTGGTTTCCCGCCATCTAGATATGAAGTCGCCTTTGACTTATGCAAGAAAATTATAATATTTGCTTAATTGTTTTCAAAGGAAAATAACTGGACCAAACCGGTCAGTAAAATGATTGATTAGATTATTATAATACTACAATTAGTTTGGAACTAAATTGAACCAACCCAAATCGAGATATCAACATTAAGTTGGTTATGAGTTTAAGATCTTAATAGAAACCAAATGAGCGAATTAGGGTGGACAAAATATTCATAGGTTTTGGTAATTGCGGTTACTCATCTATTTAAAGTTCCTGATTACGGTTATGGGTAACCGTTTAGACGAATAAACGGGTATGGATATAACCGTTTATCTATAAAATTTAAATGGTCGGTTATGGGTATAACCCGGGTTATAATGGTATCCATCAGTTATAGGTACTACCTGCGGTTATAACGAGTATTTATTTACCCATTTGATTTAATTTATGTAAAATTAAAAAAAAAATTAAAAACCCTAAAATTTCAATCTCTCATTCAGACTCATGAGTCTCAAACACCCCGCCCTCCGCTCATTTCCAGCTAGTCTCATTGAAGCACGACGAGGAACGATAAGCTCCATCTTGTTCTTTGATTTGCAAAGGTCCAGATGGGTCTTTTTCCCTTCATGTTTTATAAGACCAGTTTCCAGGCATTAGACCATCTCCAACAGAATGGTCCAGAGGGCCAAAAATAACCCGAAAACCGTCTTTAACTGAGGGCTAGGCTAGAGGGCTGTGGAATCTGAGAGGGCCCCACGGAATCGGAGAGGGCTAGAGAGCTGGCCAGAAAATAGAGCATTCCTGTCGGTTACAACCGACAGGATTGCTTAAATTTTTTTTTTAATACAACGGCTAGTCAGCAAGCCGTTGTATTCATTTTTTTTTTTTTTGGTTTTTTGGGCCAATTTTTTTTTTTTTTTTAAATTCTTTTTTTTTTCTTCCTATAAATACATAAATCATTCATTAAATTTAAGTTCTAATTTTTTTGGTTTTTTGAACCAGTTATCGTTGTATTTTTTAAATTTAAGTTGTTGTAGTATTTAAATTTAAATAATAAATTATATTTGGCTCTATGGCCCTTTGGCCCTCGGTTGGAGACTGTTTTTCGTGATAGGGCTAAAATGAGCTCTATGGCCCTTTGGCCCTTGGCTGGAGGAGGCAAATATGACCATGTACTGCTTATTAAAATATTAATATCTTGGAGAAT